CTGGATCCGCCACTGTATTTTGAAAATGTAGTATGGAATTGATTGCATTCCTTAAAATCAATTAGAAACAGCTTATAAAAGGCTATAGACGCCAGAGCTTCAGGGGGCTTCGCCCCTGGACCCCCACCGGGGCTCTAGGCAACCCCCTGGCCCCAACCAAAGGCTTTCTTATTTTGCATTTCTCCGCCCCCACCCCACTTTCAAACACGGATCGACTCCCATGATCACGCTAACGCAATTTGGCAATTGTCTGCCTCTCATCTTTTTTATAGATTGTCGCGGAAAACTTGACTAGAAACGGGCTTTCATCACGTCCTTCTTCAATGGCCTGAATGAACGTTTTTATTAAAGCTGGGAAACGATACTAAGATGGATTCAATGAACTTTTTTTGGTTTGAATCTGTGGTTTGCCCACTGTGGCGTTTCCGTCGCAAAAATTCACCGCATCTTAAACGTCGGAAAAAATCTTCCAGATACAAAGATAGTTGATGTGGATCGAGTCTTCCTCGGTTTAGGGCAGAATTTAAGTGCTCGAGATAGAAGTTTGGTTTCTATATACTGTATACATCGCTGTGGGGATAAAGGCATAGTGATTTTATCAAATTGTAAGTCGTCTTTTTCCACCACTTGGGTTAATTTGGTCATTCATTATGTGATGAAAGAGTGGGAATCGTCTAGTTTTATGTGGATTAAACTGGTTTTAAGAATTTCCAAATCCACCTCCTTAGTTCTAAGACAATCTTTTTGTCAGCTCTGCGACTGATAGTTTCAAGGCATCCTATAGGCCTATCACATTAGTTAACATTACCAGCCCACCAAAAAACTGTCCATACACTATCTATATATTATTATTCTCTAAAAATTATTTAAGAGTTTTGATAATAAAACAATTATTCGTAAGCAAACGAGCATGATTCTTATTTTACAGTAAAGTATTACTAAGTTTAAGTATTGTTAATGTAAACTGACGTAAAATGTAGCTGGTGTGGGTTCAGAAGAGGAACGTTTTGCAAATGCCATTGATCACCATGTCCTTGATAGTTCACTGCTAGCGGCTCTCTGATGTGTCCGTATAAAGGTTGAAGATATATCCGAATTTTTCCTTGTTTTCCGGAGGCAATGAAATACCAGAAAGAAAAACAAGCTTCAGAACCTGATGACGTGAGAATGGTGAATACAGCACAGATTTGTCACTTGATGAATAGATGTAATGACCTGTAATTAAAAAAGTAATAATAATAATATAATAGTAGTAGTAGGAGTTACAATACTTATGTGTAAAACCAAATAATAAATTGACAAATGTTTATACAGTATAATGATCAATTGTGTATATTAATGCAAAACTGACATGAACACACGCGCATGTTTGGAGTCCTTAGGAGGTCAGCTTTAAACACTGCTGTATTTCACAGTAGGTTTAATAGTGCTTATAAAAATAAAATGTGGAATAACGTTGCCATACCATTAGCTGAATTCAAAGTATGATCGTTTGGCAGACTGGATGATGTTGCTCTTGTATTACTCCATCTATTCCTTTCCAACGATGTAAACCCACAAAGAACAGGATTCGACTCAAAGGTACATTCTTTAAATATAGGTGGCGGTTGAGTTGGCATTGGTGCTAAAAAAGATCGATGACTAAGAAATGCTTAAAATATAGGCATTTTCAATCTCAAAAATACGTTTGATAATTGACAAACCATTCTTGGCTGTTTGCTTACCCATGTACCAACATTATTATTGCAATATAGTGATAAAATGTAATTAAACACATTTGACATACAGAGTACACAATAACAAATTCGAACCATTTACCTCACCCATTTTTTTAAATATTGTACTCGCGAATTAACACTCAAATATACGAACTTATTATAATTGAAGTTAATTAACTTACTTAATGGGCACGTTCCATTTTGTATTTCTAAATCATCCAGTCCAATGTAAGAAGTGGACGGATTCGATCCAACAATAGCTTGGAATATGACCTGCAAATATGGTATAATTCATATAAAGTGAGGTCAAACAAAATAAGTCCTGTAGTATAAAACATGAAAATGAGTTACTGAGATTAAGCTTTTTTTAAATAAGATGTCTGGAAAACATAATGTAAAAAAAATCACCTCAAAGGTACGGTAAACAACTGGTAAGTTTCTTGACGGACTATGTACATTTTGAAAAGCTTTACAAAAAGTGTAAAAACACTTTCAATGTATGTAGATAAACTCAAAACCTTTGATGCTGTTTACGTAGAACATTTCTACTCTCAAGATAGTGAGAAATATTCTGATAAATAATTTTATTTAGAATGTTTGATACGCAGAAAGTGATTGAAATTCCGCTATAGTTCAGGTCTTTTCTATCCCCATTTCTTAAAAATTGTGACTATATTATGCTCATATTTAATTAATTTAGTATGTTGTACAACTCAATAAACTTACTTAACAAATTAATAGTGACTGATACAAAACCAAGTTTGTTTGTGATACCGTCGCACAGTGGGACAGAATCAATTCAAAGTGTACCAAAAGTCGAAAATAGGTAATGTGACAACTTCAACTTTTAAAGGTTATTTGGGGTCGAGAACATCCTAAATTATATTAATCCACCAATAATTTCATATTTAGTGAATTTTCATAGTGTGATATAACCATGTAAACATGAAAAAGTTTTATTTTACTCGTAAAATGAAAAAATTGACGGTTTTGAAAAACTCCCTATGACTTTACTTAGATGAAAGCAGTCAACTTGATATTTCTTGCAGTATTTGCCTATTGTTAACTAAATTAGATAGTAAAATAAAAAATGACATTATTGGTATATTTTTAGAATAAAGGACATTAAATATGAGCCAAAAACCCTTAAAAACATTTTTTTCATAAAACCAACTTAAAAGTTCGAATTGCCGAGGATTTTCGTCATGCTTTTGACATCAACATTTCTGGCAGAGCCTAAGTATTACATTAATGCCAAGTTTAGCTGCCAATATCTGCCACCCTGCATTTAGCAAGCGATTTAATATACCCCCACCCCTACAAAAGCGCCATTTTTTAATTAAGGTATACGATAAAATCATTCCTGCAGTCATTGGGTGCCAAATGTAAAAACAAGTACACTCGATTTCCAGTGTCATATCTAGGAGTGAATTGGGGAGGGAGATCATTGGTGGATCTGGAGGGGTCAGGGTCCTGACCACACCCCCTTGGACAAAAACATTAAATAAATAAATATTTAAAAAATAGTTCTAGACTTACTTTTCCAGGACGTCAAGAGAGGGAAACCAAAATTTCAGAAGTTGAGAAAACCCGTTTCCCGACATATAGGAATCATCATTTTCCCACCACCGTCCTATTTGGGGTTCATCGGTTCATGGAAAACAAAATAGGCCTACGTATGCAACTACTCTTTTTTTATACACACGTAGGTCTGTTTACTGTAATAAGAATGACAAAGTTGACATGATTGTTTTCAAGGGAGGGAAAATCTTGAACTTTAAAAAAACTTAATTGTCATTAAAATACACCTCAAAAGTCGGGAAATCTCATTTCTCGCCATTTAGGAAAAACATTTTTTCGGGGAGGACCGACACTTTCTCTTTTGTTTTTATTTTTTTAATTATTTTTTTAAACATTTGATTCCATCCTAAATCCGAAGCCAAATTGCCTCTTGGGATTATAAGGGCATCCCAAGGTGAGTGATGGGATGGGGGTAAATGCCCGATGAAGTGGGACCGCTCATTTAATTTCTTTATTCATTTATTTATTTAGCATCCATTCAAATACAACAATTATTGCTCACGCAAGTTATAGCGATATTAGGTAAATTCAGTCTGTTTGACCGTGATCTTTTGTGCTTATTTTCACTTGTGAGAGCTGACTGATGGGGTGGACGCGGACTAAGGGGGTACTGCAGGTGTCTTCTTAACACTCCACCTTCCACCCTTTCTTTGAAGAAATGTATTTTAATAACGTCACATAAAGTGTAAAATGTTCTAATTTGAATTTGCCGGTCTAGAAACCCTCATTCGTGTCATACTGAGCTCTGGCAAGTTATTCAGTCTAGATCTTAAATTTTACGTCGTTCAATAAAAAAAAAACATACCTTAACCCTTTCACTGCTGTAGGTATATGCACCCCTGTGCTGGGACTTTTTTTAACGAAAAAAGTTAATTTTTAAAATAATTCAAAAAAAATACTAAAAGAGGTTATTTCGAAATTCTTTTTGTGTGTTGGGGCAAGCAATAGGTTGGCCTACGCGAGGAACATTGATATTTGGTATTTTGCATAATTAGGTAGTCATGTGACCTCAAAGTCACCATTTTGAATTTCTGTTTTTTCTCAAATTTTGATAAAAAACCCAATTTTTCCCAATGAAATTTTTATGGAATGTTTTTTTTTTAACTTTATAATGATGCAGACACACAAGATGAATAATAAAAAAAAAAAAATGAGTTAGTTTGATCGTTTTATTCCAAAACCGCAAATAATCAAAGTTTTTCTTAAAATTTGACCCATTTTACGCAAAAATCCGAAAAATCTGGACCCATTAAAAAAAATTGTACCCACTAAATATGGGAAATCTGGACCCATTTTTCATAAAGTGAACTCATTTTATGCATGCAATTGCTAATTTGGGCCTAGATTTAAAATGTGGACCCATTAGAAAAAGTGTGTGGGACTGTCATTGAGCACAATACAACCATAATTTGAACCGTGGTCGGTCTAAATTCGATAACCATGAACTCATCATTGGGTCTGTCTCTTATACACATCTAGATGTGTATAAGAATACACATTTTTAAAGCGCCTATTAAAGCAAACAAAACTGGCTTGTCACCGGCGCTGGAGGATGTTAGAAAGAAGTTGAACTATTTGAAGAGGAATGATTTAAGAGTAGATTTGAATAATTGCGGATCAGAAATGATACGTAATTGAGGAGGCAGAGAATTCCAGAGTTTAGGAGCAGAGAAAGAAAAAGAGCGTTCACCGGTACGAATATGCTTGACTCGTGGAGTAACAAGTTTGAGGGTTTGAGAAGAACGATTAAAACGGGAAGAAACCTGTTTGTCTATAAGCGAACAGAGATAAATTGGGGCACGACCATGGATAGATTTTTGGGTGAGAAGAAGAATTTTAAAAATGATTCGCTTATCAACTGGAAGCCAGTGAAGAATGTTTAAAATTGGCGTAATGTGGATTATTATGATATATGATATTTAGATTATTAGGCTGCTCAAAATGTAATAAAGTATTCTAAACAGCAACACAATATTAGATGATTTGCTACTGTTAAATCACGAGCAGTTTGTAAATTTTTGGAGAGCTTTTCCTACGCTTTGCATGAGCTGGTTGAGTAGACGCGCGTACATCCCTCTGATTTGCGGTTTGCTCTAATTAAATTGTGTCTCAAATGTACGAAAACAAGACTAATATAAGTGCGTCTAGCTCGAAAAGTTGCAAAAAGTAGCAGCTAAATTTGGTACCATCATAAAGCTAAGGCTATACTGAAGATGGTGATGAAAAAAAACGTGGTTTGATATAATGTAGTAAATTATAGCATTTGAAATATTTATAGAGAAATTTCCGACATTTGTTGAAAAATACTACCCTTAAAATACGTTTAAATGTAAAATATTTTCAGGATAGATTAACCAGGGTATACCCATCTTCAATCATGTGAAAAAAGTGTAAAAGCTATAGTCACCAAAATGGACTTTTGGCACACTTGGATTTCGCCCTGGACCACTGTGCGTCGGTCCCTTGGGCATTTTTATTTTAAAGACAGTGAAAATGCCTCTTTTACAGTATCAGTGTTACAGTAAGTTCTATATCATAAATACAATTATCTTTACCCATTAAGACATTCTTATTATAATTACTTCCAATAATGTATTACCAAACGCTTTTCATTCTGAAAGAACTGCTGCCATAGGTCTATATATTTATATTAATTTCACACAATAGTTCCCAATATTGTTTAACATTTAGGTTCATCTTACTTTCGGACACAATATCATTTGATTCTGGATCCTTACAATCGTCATTCTTTTATTTCCACTAAGAAATTTCCAAAAATCTCTACACAATGGTCCTCCCTTGCTTGCAATATCGACAGATTTCTTAACATTCTTTTAAATAATCTTAATGCTTTATATACACGCTTTTCTGATATGAAAGCCAATTTCTTATGTCCTCGCCGTTGTCATTTATTTTTATACACTTCTAACATTGAACCTACATCTACATTTTTGTTTTAAATTCGACACAATTCTTTCGCGACCTAGTTTGGGATACGACTCATAGGCCTAATTAAAATAACAGGGTAGTGTACCAACCAATCAATTCCAATATGTCAATAATAATATGATTTTATACATGTTGATCATAGCATACCTTAAATGAGTCTGTTGGTTGGAATTGAATGTATCCTATGTTCCAGTAAAGACCTTGTATTCCAGACAAATTCCTAATAGGTTGACCGACACCACGTACCTTTTCCTCAATAATCACCTCCAACTGACCAACATAGGGTCCAATCATGTAGTAAGAAAAGCTGATACAGTAAGAGGTGTATTTCGATGAGAAAGCCGGAGTTTTAAGGCGAGCAACTTGCCCAGGTTCTTTGCCATATCCGCTAATGTACATGTTTTCATCTAAGACACAATTAACACTAAATTCAATTATCTATAAGTTCGTATATTAATTAATTTTATTATAAAACTAGTTAAATTTTGATAACAATAATAATAATAATAATAATAATAATACAATAAATTATTTATGAATGATTAAAAAGTAAATAACAACGATTAATTAATTTAGTTTATGCTTGTAAGTTGTAAATATAAAACAATATTGTTCAAATCTCTACTAAATGACCATGCAGGTGGTTTGTAATGAATGTTTCTGTACCAATTAAAATCATCATCATTATCTTGCATTATTTCTCTGTAGCAGGTATTATCGAAGTCACAACTAAGTTGTTGCAGCTCTGGCTCATTCCAACTTGATATACTTTGTGCTAGGCTCTTGTGGCTGTGAAGCATCACTTGAATAAAAAACGACGCCCAATAAACAGCACAGTTCATCTTGGCCACGACTAACGCGAATTACGTTACATCAATCAGTAAACGTTTTAGCGAAATGGTTTCCTGTGCTTTACGACTTAATAATAATAATTATTATGCTCGATCGCCACCACTCGTTTACAAATTGTATTTTTAGCTTCCTGTTCCGTGTATTCAAGATTGGTTGACATTTTTATCACATGATTCATAATTATCCAAAATCAACAACAATAATTCCTACATGCGTTTTTTATCGGGTCGCTTTCAAAGCCTAGTCTGAGGGTTTATCACAATTTAGAAAAATAAAAGTGACAAATTGGTAGGCTGAAAAATTAAGAGGAGGGGAAGAAAGAGTAGGATGTTAGGTCATCCGGCTTTAAGACGACTCCGAGTTGCATTTAAAAAAACCTTACTCAACAATTAAAACTTGGTGTCCGTTAACAACCCGGCGCTGCCGTACGTTATCGTCGTTTTGTATTGATATTGCATCCATGTCTGCCATATATAAGTCAATCACAACTAATTTAAATGGAATTTTTATTTACATATAGGCCTACACATTATTGATCTGTCATATGATCGATTGTCATACACCATAAATATACATTAAAGATATAGAACCTTCCATAAAAGAATCCCATCCCTGAAAAACATATTGTAACAAAAAGCAGAAGGCTTGTTTCGGCAACGGTCCCCATAGCTTATTAATAACATAGTCTCAAATGATGGTTCAAGATTCATAGTACACATTGAATTATTATTCATAAGACTATTTCTCAAGCCTTTCTTATTACAAATAATGTTGAAGTATTATATATATAGGTATTTTATTGTTAATTTTAAGTACTATATTAACTTGGTGATATATTTAATGTATACTCATTTTTAGCTATCACGGTGTCTCCTAACTAGTAATTTGTTGTAAAAAAATAACTTATAATTGTGATATGATCCATGACATGAAAAATAATCCGAGTTCCTTGTTGTTTTCTGCTCTAATTTGTGCAAATAAAAATCGTACTTTGTCCGGTGAACCAATTTGATGCGAGTATATGATGCTGTTACAAGTATTTTTTTTTCATTTTCATAACAATAAATTATGTAGTGATACACTATTATACAATCAAATTGCGCCTTCGCTTACAGAATGCTTTTAATAGAACGTTTACATCCTAATCTAGTAAAAGGTGTAGTAGTAAAGGTGCACAATCCCGTTCAAATCAAACATAGTAAAACCTTTACAAAATAACTTCATTTTTTTAAATGTCACAATGTCATATATTGGATACCGTTAGATCAGTAGGCCTATGTATCATTAATATGAAAAATGATGAAAAAAGGTTTAATAAAAGTTTCTTCTTCTTATCGAGTCACTACGTTGCTAGTGTAGATCTAGCTTACGTAATGTGGTAGAAGGATTCGCAGGTAGGATGGATATCTGACATGGGCCGCGTCGTAGGCGCTCCTTCTGTGGCCGGACAGGGGACTAGTGGACCAGTACACCGGGGTAACCCCCTACTCTTCTCGAATGATGTATTGGGTTCTTTAAAGTGCACACGAGCCAATTGTGTACACTGGACCTACGATTTAGAGTCCTTATCCGAGAAGACTTGTTCCACCACTGGAACCAGGCGAGCGTGCCATTCGAACCAGCGCCGATCTGTATTTCACGGTCCCCCTGTCTTAAACGCTCGGGCAATCGGCTCGCCTTTACCTTTAATAAAAGTGGGTTAAACCTATAAAAGAGAAAAAAGATATTAATTCAAACAGATTTTTTTTTTTTTTTTTTATTTTTTGCTGTACAGGTCTCCTCCAAATAAATACGACTTTTGTGCGGCCCCAGTTGGATGCATATCTTTTATCATTAGCAGTTCACTCCAATTAAAAACTCTCTCTAGTTAGATGAAAGATCATGGATTTGGCGGTCCAACTGAAACTTTTCCCTCACACTAAAGAGCACTATAAATAAACAGTGATATTAATGCGTTTTTTTCTATAATAAATTTTCAAATCCAAGTTCGATTTATTTTCCATGTGTTAAATAACACTAGAATTTCATAATAGTCGCTAAAATTACAACATTGCAAATACAAACACTCCTAAATTATAAATTTTGGAGTGTCATCGTCCAGCACCACGACGAGGTCGTCGGACCAAAAATATTAATTTGTCTATTCAAATCACGTTATTTTGATTGCCAATCCCTAAATGGTCTAAACATGGACCTATTAATAAGGTCCATGGTCTAAACGCAAAATTCTGGGCCATACTAAGTCATAACCTCTCCCCATGAACCTTAGGATTATATTCTGGGGCCCTGACCGAGGCCCAAGTCGTCCCCTTGGATCGTACCCCTTGTCTGCAAATTTCAGGAGCCACACTGCTTTTACCATAACAACCCTCTGCTTTTACCATGGAGGAATTAGTTTAATCTAATTTGTCCATGCTTTCACCCATCTGATACTTTTATTCGTATAACACATTTACTATATAGGCCTAGTTATACCTTTTTTGGTATATTTTTGTATTAACGGGTTATCGTATAGATATTTACTTGCCCTTGAGACATTGTGAATAACTTTGCATATGATTCGCTGCACAACCACATTAGTCGTCACTGATTATTGTTGAATAATACACAATGGTGCAGTCAACCACATTGTAGCATTAAACAATGGCGGATCCAGAAATTCGAAATAGAGGGGACCCAGGAAGGTACTTTCATATGGTTTTGGCTGAGGTAAGCAAATTTATGATTTTGGCACAGCTAGATGGTTGGAAATGGCACTCTCAGACCTATTTTTTTTTAAATTAAATTTGTCCACTTTTTTCATTTTTAAACTATGACAAATGTAGGCCCACATTTAATAATAATAATAATAGTGATAATAATAATAATAATAATAATAATAATAATAATAATAATAATAATAATAATAATAATAATAATAATAATAATAATAACAATAATTATAACAATAATAATAATAATAATAATAATAATAATAATAATAATAATAATAATAATAATAATAGTTCAATGAGACCAATTAAAATTAATTTGCGTTCTGTTATGACAAATCCTCGTTCGGATAGCCTCATGATGCTTGGAATACATCGCGATAGGGGAAGCAACCTCGACCTTGACAGCGTGGTTGTCAGATTTCGTGCAAAATGTTTTCACTTTGAAGAAAGAGAGATTCAATAATCTGCTGTATCCCTTGCTGTGCCATTGTCGATTGGTGATGGTCTGCGACCTGCAGGCCACACACAATAGGCCCTAATTGTAACTTTAGGTCACTGATGAATATTTAATACTTCGTAATTTGTAAAACAAATTATCTTATAAACCATGGCTTTCTACGATGTCATTATTTATATATAATGGAGGCTCGACCTCAACGGTTATTTATATATAATTGGCAGTAAGAAACCATTATTTAGATATAATGACATTGACCTTTATATATAATGATGTGTTACCTTTTCATTATTTATATATAGGCCTAATGGAATCAGTGAATTTATTATATATAAATAATTGTAAGTTAACCTTTCCTTATTTATATATACTGAAACCAGTAACCTTATTATGTTTGGTTACCCTTTCATTATTTATATATAATGAAATCAGTAAACTAATTATATATAAATAACGAAAACGTTAACGCAATTATTTACATATAGTCTTTTAGACGTAAATGCATTATATATAAATAATGGGTGACTTATTCAATTATATGAATTATATATAAATAATTGTGTTAAATAATAAATTTACACTTGGCGCCTCATAACTACCTGGGTTGGCAGGTTTGTTAGTAAGTCCTCAAGAATACCGATGACATTTTGTGTTTTATCAATTGTTTTATCTTTAACTGATACTTTTCTTCCACTTGTATTTTTGCATGCATCGCTTTGTACTTCCCCATCACTCGATTCAGAATCACTCAGAAGAGCACACGTCACTATATCAGGACCTGGTTCAATCTCCGACTCTATCAAATGATCTGTTATGCTCGTTGCAGGTATTTGTCATGTGACCAGGTTTATTGCACTTTTATACCGTGCTTTTTAGCTTCGTCGGGCAGTCGTTTACATTGTGGCCCGTTAAACTGCATTCATAGCATGTTAGATCTATTTTCTGATCTATATGGAAGATTCTCGCTTTGAAATTATTTATCTTAAGCACCCTCGGAAGACTTCCTTTGAATGGTTGAATAAAAACAGCTCTGCCTCCATTTAGAAATCTTGAAAGCTTTCCATTGATTAGAAACTTGATAAATTGTATTTCTCTTTGGATATTTTTGCATCCAATTTTTTTTAAGGCAATTGTAATTTCTTCATCCCGAACAAAGGTATATCCTTAACTAGGATTCTTATTTCATTTTCATCTCCGGCGATATATGGGTTGACATCATACACTTTAACCTGTTTTCCATTTATTTTTAAACCAGAAATGATTGATTTCACTCTTTCGCTGTGATCATCTATATAAATTCTCCAAAGGTTTCTAACTTTTTGGGTTCCTATGAGGTGGTCACAATTGATGACATCACTTAACGAAAAATAAAGTACCTCTTCTTTGAATCCTCGTTTTTGTTTCTAATTTCATCATCCTTAAGAAAGATACTGGCTTTACGTTTAATCTTTTGTTATAGTTAATAGTAGTCGTGGCAACAGACGTTCGGGAACAAAAGCTTTTCAAATTGTGTTCACTCGAGCGTGAACTGTACAGACGACTCAATAGAGCTGGTTGTTACCGACCGTTTGCTGAGTTGTTTTGGCGGGTTGATTAAATTTATTTTCTCTAGCAGGCTTGGTTCAGGAACTGCTTTCGACTTCGTTCTATGATTATCAGAATGAAAATCAATCAAACGATCTTTGACCACATAACGTTCCAAATTACAAATTTTCAGGATGATTCCGATTTTTTTTACAAGAAATCAGAAAAAATGTGGAATTTTATTGTTAGTTCTTTAGTGTACGTACACATAAAACGCCACCAACGATCTTTTCTTTTCCTAATATTTAATGCAACAGCAAAACACACATTTTCTAGAATAAGACTTTGGGTCATGGATAATTAGATATTAAACTGTTGGTTTATAGGCCTAGAGAATAAATTATACTTATACTATTATTTAGCTCCCATAGAAATTGTAAATGATACTTCAATCAAAACCATAAAATTGGACTTATTTATATTTTTATTGATGCTATATATTATATTTGCAATAACTAAACAACAATTGCGGACCTACCATTTATTAGCTATTGTCTATTCAATGTCTATTTTCACATGTTTTGAAGATAATATTTAGACCTATATAGTTAAATACTTTATAAATGGTACAATTTGCTCCTTAAGCTTTTACATCTTGTCTACATCATCATGTCTACAAAGGTGAGGTATAAGCATTCTCATATACGTCTTCCTCATAATTTGCGTAAGCGTCAGAGTCGACATTTTTTGTAGAGGTTGTTCTTGGACCATCTTTTGGCTTGTTCATCCATGGCTTTCTGAATACGACTAAAAGTATAGCAATTGCAAAAATGACAACCAAAGGCACCACTGTTGCGGTAATAATGATGGAATTCGATTTTCTGTCATCTTTCAATGATGTGTTATCCGGATATATGTTGATGTCATCAACAGCAATTACTCCTAAACTTGATGGTCCAAGTACTGCTTCAAATAAGATCTAACAACGACAAAAACAAAAACAGTTTACATATATTTTACACGGAACTCATCATTCAACCTTTCTCACCAAAGTAATGTAATAGCATACACATAAAGTTCCTCAATTTTTTTTTCAGAGAACAACAATAAACAGAAGCCATTATATTTCAACAACAAATATAAATTAAACATTTACCGCAAACATTGTCATTGACGGGTTCACTTCCATTACGTTAACCTGTTCCCATCCTTGTGTAGTTCCATTTTTTTCCCAAATCAGTTTCTTTTTATTGTAATTCCATCCTTCTTGAATGAAAACCCGCAAGTTTAGCTGTGGGTCGAAGTTCATATGAACGCTAAAGCCGACGCTGATACTTCCATTGTAGTTAATGGGTGGTGTTTGAATACATGCTTTGTCTTCTTCACCACCTTCAACATACATGTAGGTAGAAGAATCTAAAAATTACAAATAAAAAGTATTATAGAGGTAGGCTATTGCATTCAGTCACTGTCAACATAGCTATTTTATGGACAAAATATATATATATATATATTTGTATATTAGATATTTGGTCTCAAAATGGCTCCCTCACTTGTGAAGTTATTGTTAGTTGACACATTCATAAATGCAAAGTCGAGTATTCCGTCGTTCATCGATATTTTAATTAATTGCGTATTCTCATTTAAATATATAGAACTAGACTCGTTACCATATAAATTGAATGCTATTTTTAAAAGCTTTTATGAGTACCCGATAGACCATGAACACCATAGTTATTGAAATAAAGCCAATCTAGGTCGTCGTCATATATCTGGAACAGACCACACCCAGCAATGTCATTCTCGAAATTGCATGAAAATTTTGCAATATGGTTGACAACAGATTCACAGTCATCAAGCATAATGTCATCAATGGCGATGGAACAATTATTAAATAAAACACACAATATAAAATAAATATAACATATATATACATATATATATATATATATATATATATATATATTTGTATATTAGATATTTGGTCTCAAAATGGTTCCCTCACTTGTGAAGTTATTGTTAGTTGACACATTCATAAATGCAAAGTCGAGTATTCCGTCGTTCATCGATATTTAATTAATTGCGTAGGCCCTATTCTCATTTAAATATATAGAACTAGACTCGTTACCATATAAATTGAATGCTATTTTTAAAAGATTTTATGAGTACCCGATAGTCCATGAACACCATAGTTATTGAAATAAAGCCAATCTAGGTCGTCGTCATATCTCTGGAAAAGACCACACCCAGCAATGTCATTCTCGAAATTGCATGAAAATTTTGCAATATGGTTGACAACAGATTCACAGTCATCAAGCATAATGTCATCAATGGCGATGGAACCTCTGTAATAGCTTTCTCCAACTGTCGCTTGAAACCATATCTATAAATGAAATAATAAAATATCTACGAGGAAGCAACAAACACACACACACACACACATAAATGTATATTGTGCCCAAATAAAAACAATATGTTATAATTGTATCAAGCATAGCCCTTAATAATAATAATAATAATAATAATAATAATAATAATAATTGTGCAGATACTATTTACATCAGCGGCTTTCAAGTGAAATAACTTAAATGAAATCTAACTAGAAAAAAAAATACATTAAGAAGCACTTTAATGCTTGCATACACCCTCATAAAAACATACATACACATACACCTATACATACAAAGTGTGCATATATACATTTAAATTACTTAATTAAAAAAAATAAACAGATAAGGCTGTCGCCCTGCATTGTAAGTCAGTATGCCGCACTGCAGACACAAGCTCCTGCAAGCTCCCACTATCACATGGATGAGCCACCACCGGGCCGGGAAAGCTGACTTGCATGAAGAGATATGCCAGCCATCCACGCCGCAAAAGCCCGCACCCAGGTACAATACAAAGCGACAACCCAATTCTGCATCAAAAGAAAATGAACAAAAAAAATGAATGCAAGAAAAACACAATTTCCATACATAACACCACAGCCAGCTTAAACTATATAAAATTTTAAATCGCTTCTTCCACTTTCTCTTTGCAGAAGTTTTGCAAAATATGGCAATACAATCGAATTTGATTGGGCAGGTTAAAGCTGGGTTCACGTAGAACTTTTATCTATATATACATCCACTTAACTAGTTAAAAGTTCGACGTGAACCACTCAATTATAGCTAGTTAAAGGAATTAAGTCACTTAAGTTAAGTGACTTAACTTTACTAGAATAACGGTAAATTAACTTGCTTAACGGTAAAGTCGGCTCAGATTAAAAGGACACGATTACGTAACGTAGGCATCTAAGCCAGCTTTGTTGTATTGTACCACCATTATCATCTTCTGGCTGGCAACAACGTACTTCAACAATGCTAACAACACCATCGAAGTAGTCTCATTAGTCTGGTTTTTAGAAATTATTTGTAATATTTTGGGTAAACACCCAGCAAACGTCCGTTTTACGAATAGTCGATATTACCAATGACCTTTGCCCTTTGCATCATCGACCAAGTAATAACGTTAAAAAGTCCGATTGCGTACGTTTTTCAAAGTGATAATGTATATTTTTATTAATAATGAAATCAGATTTGTTGTATTTATTTATTGACAATTCAATCTTTTCTATTTCTGCTAT